CCCACACCTGCAGCCCCTGACCCCCCACCTGCCGTCCCCCACCCTCAGCTCTCATCTCCCACCCCGGGCGCCCGCGGGGATGTCCCGGGTGGGTCCCGGTCCCCTCGGTGCTGTCACCCCCGACAATCCCGGTGACAACCCGGGCTCAATGCCACCTGCCCTGTCCGCAGGACCCTGGTGGTGGTTGCAGGTGTGACCAGGGTCGCAGGTGTGTGACCAGGACCCAGGTGTGACCAGGGTCGCAGGTGTGTGACCAGGTGTGTGCCCAGGGCCCAGGCGTGTGCCCAGGGTCGCAGGTGTCACCAGTGCCCAGGTGTCACCCGTGTCCAGGTGTCACCAGGGCCGCGTCCCGCGCTCCGCCCCGGTGCTCGGAGCATCCCCGGGCTCCCGGTGCCGGTCCTACCTGGCAGCATCCCGAGCAGCAGGAGCAGGCTGGCGCCGTGCCCTGCCATGGCGCTGCGGCCGCGAGGAGGAGGAGGAGGAGGAGGAGGAGGAGGAGGAGGAAGGCGCAGGAAGGCTCCGAGGGCAGGCGGCCCGTGCGGGGCCCTTTTAGGCGCTGGGCCGGGGCCGCTCCTCCCCGTGGGGAGGATTCCTGTGGGATGAGTGAGTGGCTCCGAGCTGTGCGTGGCTGCCGCCCTGCTCCGCTCCTACCCCCTAATTAGGCAGCGCCCGGCCCGCCGGACCCCGGCCGGACACCGGGGGGACACCGGGGGGACACCGGGGGGACACCGGGGGGACACCGGGGGGACACCGGGGGGACGGTGGGATGGAGGTGGCGGTGGTTGGAGGTGGCAGCTCGGCCCGAGAGGGCTCCGGGCTCGGAGGGGTTAAAGGTGCGGCTGGAGCGGGGTCAGAGGATGCGGGTCACTCCTCCGGACCGGCACCGGGCACCGGGCACCGGGCACCGGGCACCGCGGGGACCGGGCACCCACCGAGCCCGCGGGGCATCGCTCAGGGAGCTGGGGGGGGGGGACAGGGACAGGGACAGGGGGGACAGGGACATGGCAGGGTGGAACCTTTGGGGACAGTGGCACATGGCAGGGATGGAACCCTTGGGGACAGGGACAATGGCAGGGATGGAGGAGCTGGGACAGGGACACGTGGCAGGGATGGAAGTGTTGGGGACAGGGACATGGCAGGGAAGGAGGAGCTGGGACAGGGCCACAGCGGTGGACGAAGTGCTGGGGACAGGCAGGTGACAACAGGGGCAGGAGATGGGACAGGGACACAGGAATGGATGGAGGAGCTGGGACAGGGACACATGGCACTGGATGGAACCCCTGGGGACAGGGACGTGGCAGTGGGTGACACCGGGGGGCTCAGCCCCGTGGGAAGGCCCTGAGGACGCCACGGAGCTGTCCCTGCCCGTGTCCCTTCAGGGACACAGGGACATGGACACCATGAACTTGGGGACACAGGGACACAGGCTCACCCAAACACTGTCACCTGAGGACCACTGTGTGTCCCCAACCCCAGCCAAGTCCCCACATGCCCCTGGGGTCCCAGTGCCACCTGGGATGGATGTCCCCATTCCTGTCCCTGTCCCTGTCCCTGGCCTGGAGTGGCCGTGACCCCATCCCCAGCTGTGTCCCCCCCACGGGACAGTGACCCCACCCCAGTGTGTGACCCCCCCCTTGGCACTGTGACCCCCTTTTCTTCCTGTGACCCCATCCCAGTGCCATGTCCCCTCCAGTGCCATGTCCCCCCCAGTTCCCTGTCCCCCAAGTCCCCTGTCCCCCCCGTGCCGTGTCCCCGACAATGGGGATGGACACTGGGGATGGACACTGGGGATGGACACAAGGATGGACACTGGGGATGGACGTTGGGAATGGACACTGGAGGTGACACTGGGGACAATGGGAATGGACATTGGAGGTGACACTGGGGATGGACACTGAAGGTGACACTGGGGATGGACACTGGAGGTGACACTGGAGGTGACACTGGGGATGGACACGGGGGCTGGCACAGTGCCACAGAGGGGGTGCCCCTGCTGACAGTGGCCTGGCTGTCCCCGAGAGCTCGGTGACCCCAGCGGCTTCCTCAGGGCGGGGGCTGAGGTGACACATCTGTCCCCAGGAAGGACACCCAGTGTCACACGGGGCGGGGGGGTCACACGGGACAAGGACCACAAGGGACAAAGAGGCTGGACCAGCTCCTGGCAGTGTCCCCGCGGTGTCCCCGCGCTGTCCCCGCGCTGTCCCCGCGCTGTCCCCGCGCTGTCCCCGCGCTGTCCCCTGCCCTGCCTCGCCTTCCCCAGCCCCGGTTGTTTTCCAGCTGCTCCTGGAATTAATCAGAGCCGCTCCTGCCGTCCCCATCCCCCCGCAGGTGACACCTCTGCATCACCCCCGAGGGACGGAGGTGGCACCGCGGTGACAAAGTGGCACCGGCAGGGCTGGGGGGCGCGGGGACCCCGCCGGTGCGGCGGGGGGTGGCACCGAGGGGACAAAAGGAGCCTCGGGGATGCTGCAGCCCCCGGGCAGCTCCCGAGGTGAGGGAAGGGCGGAAAACCAGCACGGGCTGGAAAAACACGGCTTAATTAAAACCATGGTTTAATTAGAGCCGTGGTTTAATTGAAAACAGGTTGAAAGGGTGGACAATAAATGGGTTAAGAACGTGGATTAAAAACGGGGTGAAAACAAGGATAAAAATGGGTTAAAAATGGGTGAAAAATGAGTGAAAAACATGGAGAGTGTGGATAAAAGATGGGTTAAAAGATGCATAAAAATGAGTTTAAAACATGCATAAAAATGAGTTTAAAAGATGGATAAAAAACAGGTTAAAAATGGGTTAAAACCATGGATGAAAAAACAGGTTAAAAACGTGGATAAGGGGTTAAAAACGTGGATAAAAATGAGTTAAAAACATGGATAAAAGGTTTAAAACATGGAGAAAAATGGGGTTAAAAACACGGATAAAAGACGGGCTGGCACAGGGTCCTCAGAGTGTCCTGGCCTGTATTTTGGGACAAAAATCCGATTTTCCACCTGCATTTTGGGACAAAAATCCGCTTTTTCCCCACTGCATTTTGTGACTAAATTCCCCTTTTCTGTGCTGTTTTTTGGGGTATAAAGTCACTTTCCCCCCTGTATTTTGTGACTAAAATCCCCTTTTTCCCCACTGCACTTTGGGACTAAAATCTGCTTTCTCCCCGCTGTGTTTTAGTACAAAAATCCCCTTTTCCCCGCTGTGTTTTGCTGCAAAAAGTCACTTTCCCCCCTTGTATTTTGGGACTGAAATCT